ACTCAGATTCAGTTTACAAGATTGTTGCTCCAAATAAGATGACTCAGATCTAACCTGGAGAATCTCATAACCTCAGCAGCCAAGAAGGGTTTTTGTGGGAGAAAGTCTGAGCAAGACAAAAAAATCCAAGTTCTCCTGCTGGTGTACCCCCTGGTTTAAGCTACATTCCAATCTAGCATGTTAATATGTACAGACATCTCTTCCTGCACCCATGGAGACTATAATGATGTATTAGACAAAACACTTCAGTTGCTTTTGATTTTTTACAGGAGGAGAGCAAGCAGTAGCACCACAGTGCTCTGGCAAACACACAGACACCAGATATGTGTACTAGGAGAGGAGTGAAAACAGCAAGCAGGACATCCTACATCCAGAGCTTCCACTCCTCTTCTGCAAAGTAGAAGCCAGTGTTAGCAACAGTTCCAGGGGAAATAACAGCAAAAAGACTAACCCTGATGATACCCTTTATTTATCTTGCTTCATTCATGTTCACAACCAAATAGAGGCCAGACCAGGCTTCATCAAACTCAGAATCCAACATGAGGCACACAGACAGCATGAACATGGACACTGATGGCACAGGAGACTTCTGCTGTATCTGCACAGTGTTGCTGAGGTCTAAGTGGGGAGACATGGCAGAAAATGTTTTAAGACAGTCACATGCCTCCAATATACTGCTTTCCAGGGACATAGCCTCCACCACACCAGAGAATATGAAACAACTACTGAAAACAGCCATGCAGTCTCGCAGCCATGTCCCAGCCAACAAAATACCAGTGAGTTTCACCGGGAAACTGCACTTTGGTGCTGTTGCACCAGATAAGTTTCTATATATTATGTCCTTTGGGTCTACTACTAAAGGTAGAAGACTCAGGTACTTACAGTGCTGGAGTTAGTCTGCCTCCAGTTCCCTGCTCTGTATGTATGACCTTGAAAAAGTCATTCAACTTTCCAACGGCTGAGCTGTTCAACTGCAAAACAAGGCTTTTTCAGCTTTTGGCTGTCTTGTCTGTTTAGACTGTAAGCTCTTCAGGGCAGGGACTGTCTCCTATTAAACGATCATAACTCTCACTTAATTAGGGTCTTCTACACATCCAGGGCCCTCACAAAAATGTCATAAAACAAAAGCTTTCTAATAAATTCTGGGGGATTCCAGATTCTGATCCAAAACTGCTCAGTGGTTTTCCCTGCTGAATATGATGCTGAATCCCTTGTTAGTTTGTGTGCGTGAGGGGGGAGGAGGGAGACTATAATTTAAAGAGATTGCATAAAAGACCGTTTAAGTCCTTGTGGCTGTATATTTCTTTTAATTAGTTTATGCACAGTGCATTTGCATGGGAAGCTGCACAGCGTGTGGACAGACTTAATTAGGAGAACAATACGTTCCCTCTTAAGATAATGACTTGAGGATTATGAAAATTATTATTCCAGATCCATCCATGGGTCATTTGAGGTTCAGTATCCAGCGAACTTTTAAAATGCATTGAGGTCAGCAGTTTGGATACTGTCAGTAAAGTCACTTGATTTTACTGTTGCTTAAATGATTAATTATGAACAGTGGCTGCAGGCATCCCCCAAGTTACACAATAGCCCGAGGACTTGCTGCATTTCACATATGCCATCAGCTACTCTGGAGGGACAGATGTGCTGAACAGGGCTGTGAGCTCCACTGTAGTCATCTGCCAGCAAAGTCTCTCTGAGAGCTCTCTCTCCAACCCCCAGCTCCCTTTCGCCCATCCTTTGCTTTTTTTTTTCCTGGCTGGGGAGGCAAGAAATGTCTGTCTCCACTAATGAGTCTTTGTAGCTGGAGAACCAAGACAGTTAGGTGAGAGTTTTAGGACACAGGTCAGTAGTCCATGTAAATGAAACACCACCCATGCCCTTTTAGAGCAAAGCACCATTGAAAATTGAGCTGGAGACATAACCTAAGTGCACCTCAGCTTAACTCATAGTTTGGTGGGTCTCAGAAAAGGCATTTTTCTGCGTCTCTCCAAAGTTCAATCCACTCTGAGGAAAGCATGATTGTTTAAAAAGTGTTCCTGTATCTTATCATGACAGGAAAACAGTCCTCTTTGAAAGAGCTTCCACAGGGCCTCTATTTCACAGCCAACTCAGTTCAAATAATATGAGCACCCATTCTGCTCCCCCTTGAAAAATGGTTGCCCCTGGGGTAAACAGACTCCTAACTGCAACAGGGCACTCTGGAACAGGGCAGCCCTCTATCCCCAAAGCTGGTCAACTCCAACTGTCAGGGCTATGGAAGCTACTATCCTCAAATCTGAATCACCAGGTGCAGAACAGACAGCAATCCCATCTTTCACCTTAGAAGGCAGAGCCACATACGTAGTTGATGAGGACAAGGTCACTCTTTCAGCATCAAAACTCATGACTCATTTAGGAATCACAGCAATTGCATCTTGAGTATCTATTCCTTCCTCTTCCCTACAGTGATATGGGAAGTTTTTCACTCAAATGCAATGACTGTGAATTAAATCAGGATTTTTAGTAGCAGTGACAGCAAAAGCTTGGTGAAACCATTATATATGGTGCTGCTTTCAGAGTTGAGAAAGGAGCAATTTTGGAGGGATGAGGACAAGATATCTTCAGTTGTGCCTCCCCCATTGAAAACCTTTGATTTAGGGCAAGTGATTAAAAATCAACATTCACATCTGAGGGGGGTTTGGGGGGAGGAGGTGGGTTTGAAGGAAAAAGAAAGAGAGAGACAGTGGAGGAAAGGAAATTTCAGAGGGTCAGTGATTAAATCCCTCCAAAAAAAATCTTCTCCAAAACTTCAAACCAAGAAAAAGAATGAGATGGCATCTCTATGCTCACACAGGCAACGGGAAAAAATCTGTGACTGGTCTCATCAGCTCCCTGCATGTGGCCATCCCACAGCAGGGCTCTCCCTGAGATTTGTGCCAGGGGTGGCTTTCCACAAGGGAAGATGCACACTTCTATCCTAAATTGCTCAGGTATTTGCCAAGCAAAGTCACAGATCCCTTTTAAGAACTGAGGCTGTGCTGCAAAAAGCAACGCAGAAGCTCTCAGGAGCTTGTGAGAATTTTTCTTTACAAGAACACACCTAAAAGAGCAGATGCTCAGTCCCTTTCTGCAATAATGTTCCTCTGTGGCAAACCAGCAGCAGTAGCGTGCAAGGGAGCTGAGCTTCTGGGGAAGACAGACTAGAGGAAACAAAAGGCTGGACCAACAGTCTGCTGGCCTCCTGTGCTTGCTACCTTCACCATTTTAAGGTTTCCTGAAGCCTCAGAAGGTGCTCAAGGCCAACTACAGAGAGTACCACAGATGAGCCAGGGCAGCTCACACTGGCATCAAGAAACAAAGCTGTGCACAGGCGAGGGGCACAAACCCCAAGAAATGGCTCGGCAGCAGGTCCATCCCATCACACTTATGGCCAGAGAGCCCAGCAAGGTCCAGTTACTATGGAGATGAGAAGGGGAAAGAAAACAAAACCACTATTAATAACAGGATGAGGAGAGAACAGCTCCTCAACTCTGCAGGGTCAATAGACACACTTTGTGAGCATCACCCATTACTCAACCTCTGTTGTTGATAACATGGCACCCAAAGCATGCTAGGCACTGTACAGGGCAAACAAAGATGTCCCTGCCCCAAAGAGATTACAATCTAATTCTGATTTTACAGTCATATTTCAAAAGCACAGTGAGATCAAAGTCCTGCTCTCCTCCCTCAGGCAGTCATTCTCTCTGGTGGAATATATCTCGATTCATAAATCAGAGAAGCAGCATGTCTCAGTGAATACTGCCATTCAGGACACAAAACAGAACACAGAGATGCCAAAGGTAGTCCTAACATCATGTTAGTGCTCAGGAGAGTAATCTGGGGGTGCAAGAGAAGGGGAAACACACAGCAATTTTTATTTTTCCATTACCAAAGCAGATGCTTGTCCAGCTGCAGCACAGACAGCAGTAACAGCACATGACAATAATCCATGACACTCTAGAACAGACAATGTAAAAAAGAGCTCCTTCTAGAAATAAGGTGAAACTTCAGGAGATGTTAAGTGAGATGGTCTGAAAAAACCTTAAAAACTGAGACAAACATCAGAGTAGAGTAACAGCCATTTAGGAAAGGACATTGAATTAAATGAGCAATCCCAAAGGCAAATCCCAGTGTTCACTGTTTTCTTATTTATTCACAGATAGTACTAGCAGCATCAGGACACACTTAAGCACACAGGAGTAAAGACAGTTGTCTCCCAAGCACTATCCCCACCGCACCCTCTAAAGGTTTCCCCTCCAGAAAAATCTGCAATTCAAACACTAAATTTACCCCTGAACTGCTTAATCTGCAAGCTCCAGCGATCTCCCTGCAACGGGGTGCACAGGCAACAGATGTTCAGAAAGCGAGCTGGCAGTTTGCACACCTGAACGTGTGACTGGGAGCAAGACAGAAAGGATGCACATTGCCTGGGAACATCTGATAACGCCGTGCCCTTCAGAGCCTGCACAGCGCTGAAGGGGCAGGAGCGAGGCTTAGAAATAACCAGAAGCTTTCTTCTTCTTCCATGAGTCACTCCTGCTTCAAGGAGCTGCAGCTTTGATTATTAACTGGGCTAGTCAGCTAGATATTTAAATGATTCCCAAAAGTCATTAAGAGCCCAATCAGATATGCAGTGCTTGACTCTAGCACAGGAATGCAGAGAGGGAATTATTTGCATAAACTATGCTTTAGAGAAAACCTCCATGTATTTTATATTTCAGGGTATGGGGGAATCTGATTTAACTGAGCTAAAGAGAAGAAAAAGAAGCTTAAGCAATTTAAGGGACCACATTAAACATGGAAGAGAGAAAAAATATAAAATAAAAACATCAGCTACCTCAGGGATTAGTAATAACTAAATACAATGTCAAAGTGCTCTTCCTCTCTATTCTCTAAGCAACAGGCAGCTCCCTTAGATTTCCTCTGACTTTTCAGAGAGAAAATTTAGCCTTGAAGTCAAAGCACTGCCAAAAGATGCATGCCTGATCAGGAGATCTCATAACCCTTCCATCCTCTGTCCCAGACTGACATCACAGACATGAGCTGATGCAAGAAGTGAATAGATGAACAGACACAGAAAGCTACGTTTACTTAAATGTAGCTTTGTGTTCACCTACCTTCACACCAGAGCCATGACACATACTCTCCTCCAGCAAAAACTTAAAGCAAATCTTTAGAAGATTTTCCCAAATCTTCTGCGGAATTGTTCTTATAGGAAATACGGGGTGGCAAGAAACCCACAAGGTGTGGTACCAGAAAACTATACCAGAACAGAAAGCAGTACCAGAGCAGGGGCCATCTTCAGAGAAAGGCAGAGGGTCACCTAACCTGGCTGCACCTTTTCTGGTGGTTTGTAACTCACCTCACATCTCTGTCACACTCAACCTAGTGGGTAGTTACTGCCACATCTTGCATGAAATCCAGGTCTTGGGATGGGGAAGCAGCACAGGGCACTGTGCAGGGACTTATTCAGAGGAATCATATCTAGTACATTCCATCCTTCCCGCTTTAGGTTAAAATCAGAGCCACGGCAAGCAAATCTCTCCCATATCTGCAAAACAAAACCAGATTCAGGGTGACTAGAAAGATGGACTAAGCTCAGAATTTGTAACAAAACAAGAAGGTAAGACAAAAGTGGTTCTTACAAAGTTCTGGGGGGGATTATCTCTTGAGAAACAAAGAACAATCAGCAACTCACTTCCTAGCCCTGCTTTTCGGGTAGAAAACTGTGTTCTCACAAGAAGTTAGTAGTCACGATAACCTGAGGCTGGTCACAGAAACTCTTTACCCATCAGTTCCCCCCTCTGTACAATGGGGGTTAAAGTGTTCTACTTTCTTCTCTCCATCAGGGAATGGGAGCTGACAGACTAAACACACTCGTGCCTACAAAACCTTCTTCAGAAAGAAACTGCCATAAGGAGGGTAAAAACATATTGTTACTGTGATTAGAAACCAAAGTCCTCCTGTGCAGTTATTTAATTAAACCATAAATACAAATGGATAAGTGACTAATGAGCCAACTCTACACAGTGTATTTATATTCCTCTGAAAAAGAACAATGCTTAAACTAGTTGCAAATAATAGTCCTCTCTCCCAGCCTGGTTTTCCCTGCAATCAGGAATCAGGCCGCACAGTAGTTTGCTGACAAATTGGTTCATGTTATGAAGATAATGAAGGCATCAAATTACTTTGCACTCCTTCCCCCTGGAAGCAGTGAGGCTCTCGCAGAAAGCGATTGCCAGGGTTTTATTTGTGCATGCATGTGTGTGTCATTTGTGAGCAGACAAGCCCCAGAGGCCTGTCAGCCAAGGCAGGATGGCTCCTGCTGTCGCTTCCTGGCAAACTCCCGGTGTTGCACTGTGACCTTCTGGCTGTGCACTTGCCAGCGCCGCCAGGGAGGTGACTGTGACAAAGAGCCACAGCCCCTGAAAGGTGTTTCCTTCCTCCAGTGCCCACAGAGATGCTCCAGGTTGTTCTGTGAGAGCTTGCAAGGGTACCAGAACGATTTAGTGATGTCAGGGCAGCTTTTCTCTAGGTCTGATACACTCTGCTTTCCAGGAACAAAGCCTAAAGCAGCAGATCCAGCAAAGCACTTAACCAAGGAGCTGAGCAAGGTCATCTACAGAAGAAATAAAGTACTTGGCTGGATCACAACCCTTCTGGATGCTGGCTCTGGAAGTTTTTCCTCTTTCTCCTTCCTTTTCTGCCCAGTAAAAGGAGGTTTAACTACTTCTTTGGAGATGATTCCTGAAACTTGAATGTAGAAGGATAGCAGAAAAAAAAATACTCCCATCCTGAGCTGGTATTAATAAATATATAAATAAATTCAGAACAGGTAAGATTTCAGTAAACTGGATCCAAACAGCTTTTTAAAGCCCCTCCAGCCACTACGAGCATCAACAAGCCGAGCAAAGCTCTTTAGTGATCATAACAAATGTGTCAGGCTTTACCCTGCAATTGATTCGCTTTTGGGAACATAAGTTAAGCTTTAAATCTATATTTCATATATAATCAAGCAGCCAAATCGGCCTTTTGATATAAAACCCAGACCAGCCACTGTGTCTTTATCTCAGAAAGCAGGAGGCCCAACAAAGCTACAGTCAGGAAAGTGACAGTTCTTCATTATTATCCTCCCTGATCGTGCCCATCTTCTCATCTCCCCTATCAAATTTCTGGGCCTTTTTGATAAAAAATAATTTAAGAGTGCGCTCCACAGGAAGCACACGAAGGTTACAGATTGAGCAATGCCTGGGAACCCCTTTAAAAGGTGCAACCAGAAAAAGGGCCTGAGAACAGGAGCTGCATGCAGCCCCTGCCAGCAGCACAAGAGCAGTGCCAGACTCAGACATTCCAGGAGAGCTCTCCTTCCTTCATGGTCACCAACATCGGCTTCTGCTGACAGAACCTAAACGAGGAAGGGTTTTTAAGCCTCACTGCCTAGGCACTCCTCAGTCTTCCTTGTTTTCTTCCCTCTCTCTCCCTCCTGCATTGCAAGCTTCCCAAAATAGCCCCCTTCCACACTGGTGGGTCAGGCAGAAGAATACTTATGAAAAAGAACACTGTTTCCTATGAAAAAGGACTTAGTTCGAGTTGGGTTTTGGTTTGTTTTTGGTGGATCTTTTTTTCTGACCCAAGTACTCTCTTCAGCAAAGCAGTTTGCCCTGTTGTTTTGTATTTTTTTTTTCTTTAAACTGTTTACATAATAGTTCTCTCCTGTTTTGGTGGGGTTACAGTTTCATGTTAGAAATTTGGTGGCAATTCCAGTTATGGAGGTTCCCCTCTGACTGCCTCTGTCCTGCAGTGTGCAATCCCCCTCCACGTGCTGCTGCAGTGGTCCATGACATCAGCCTGACTGGGGAACTGATCCACTGTAGCAGGAAACACGCAGGACACACAAAAGCAGGATTTTTTCTTTTTCTTCTGCAGTCGTATCAGTTCCCTGAGATATTCCACCACATCACCTTACAAAACCACATGGTCAGCATCAAGGGGATGGCTGCTGCAGGCTGGGAATGCCCCCAAACCGTGATGCCAGTAAGAGTTCTTCAGATGAAAGCAGGGCTTGTCTTGGCTGGCTCATGTCTCGCTTCATTCTTCTGCAAGTAACTGGAGTGCATTGTCTTTGGCTCAGCAATTACATTTAATTATAAAGAGCTTATAAAACACAGCCATTTTGATAAATCTAGGTTTTTCCTTTAGATGTCCCTTGTGGGACATCTCAGATTTAAGCTTCCCACAAGGAGCAAAGAAATTTGAGGATTTGGCTTAGATGTGTTTCATAGCCAGCCACAGAAATGACAAAGGATTACACCCATCTATGAAAGATAAAATGGATTTATGTCCAAATTCACTGTTTACCCCTCTGTGAATGCTCCACAAATCAACGTGTTTTTCACTTGCACAAATAACCCACAAATCAACATGCAACAGGAAATTTAGTGTTGAGGCTGGCACCTCCATCCATAATTTGCGCTGTCAAGGGGGAAGAATAGGAGGAAAAGACCTAAAGGGCATATTTTGTGTATCTGGAAAAATTTGGACAGAAGGTTCTGCCAGTCATTCACAACCTTATTCCACATGGGCCATGTCTCTGTTACGGACCAACACACTACAGCACTCGTATTCAATGGGCTGCATTCACAAATGCCAGTCCCTGAAAGCCACATCAGCAGAAAGACATGGATTTCTGAGCTTATCTATTACCTCTCATGCCAATTTCCCATCACTGCAGTTTCCTTCCAGGCCAGCACTTAAAGTTGTGTTACTTTACAAACTTTTTACCTTAGAATAACTATGCAGTGCTGGAGTTAACATTTCTCCTTGAGATACCAGGTGGCAACACTATAACGCCTTTCCCCTGTGTTGCAGTGTCCCACCATGAAATTATAAGAAAAATGTATTTTTCCCTCTATGAGAAATAGTTTAATTCCAGATTATTATGTTGCAGAGGAACTACACTACAGTTTGAGCATTGCCAGATTCAGCCCAGATTCTTTAGTTAAACAATTTCACAACATGTGACAATTTCAGCACTTCCTATGCCTGGAGCAAAACTTCCTAACCTGATATTCACAAAGGAGTGGACTTTGCTTGGCTGTTGAAGGTTTTCAGACTTTTGTTTTGGTTTGGGCTTTTTAAGCATATTTTTAAGCTCTGCCTTGAAGTACCTTGGAAATGGGTAGTTTGGCTGATGGCTAACACCTGTGAGAGGGTGGTGGCTCTGAGGTTTCTCCAGTTCAACCCAAATGGTTTTCTAAAAGATATAAGCCATGATGATTACAAATGTATGGAGTCATTTAGCAATGTACAATTTTCTCAAGAGAGCTGGGATTTGGGGAATCTCCATTTTTAGGTTACTAATTTCAAACATTTTAAAATAACCTAGTTGCTTATAAGGGCTATTTTATGGCACCCTCGGAAAGGCACCCCATGCCAAGAACCTAAAAACTGATCAAGTTCCCAAAATCCCTAATGATTGCTTAGACTCTCAGAATGGTTCCAGGGGAGATTTTGTTTTCTTTTTGAAATAGGTAGTACTTATGGCCCATATATTTGTATTTCCAATGATTCTACACATCCACTCAATGCACTTCCATACTGTCCCTGCAGGATATTTCACTTTTTCAGCCCCTGCAGCCTCCCCCCACTGCACCAGCACTGTTTCAGGTCAGGTATATTCATGAAAAAGTCTGTCAAGTCCTTGGGAGCAACACACTGAGGGGTTTTTGCAATGTGCCCAGTAGGGTCTCTCACCATATAAAACCATGAAATTCACTTCAGGTGAAATAAAATAAGAAAAGCTTGACCTTGAGGCTGCCAACAGCAAAACAGGCAGGGGAAACAAACAAACAAAGTGACAAAAACTAAAAGCAAATATTACTTGCTTGGTCTTGCTGTTTACATGTAACCAGCACAGGACTGCTCTGCTCATGCTTTGTTGGAGACTTTCTGAAAGAGCTGAGTGCTCAGAATCATTATACATTGCATTTAGTCCAGCATTAATTCCTCTCCTACGTGGATGATTAAAAGGTACAAAGGCCATTTAATTAGCACTTCATGTCACTGTAACTTGTGGTCCTCATCTGGTAGCAACCAGACAGAGCCACAAATGTGCGTACACATATACCCACAGAGGCACACCACCACCCCCCAGGAACACGAGTTCCTCCTATGCAATTATAGCTGGGTGCCCCCTAATTCTGATCTCTTGAGCATTTAATGCGTTTGCTCTGGGGTCTACACAATCCTGCTCTAATTTTGCCAGGGGCCTTTGTATCAAAGGCCTGAGCTGTGTGAAAGGTGATTTAGCAGAGATGGTGTCGGTGATTATTTTCAAAGGAACTGCTGCAGCCCCACCACGAGGGACACTGCAGCCTCCAGATAGGGGGCCCTTATCATATTTTCTATTCTCAGATAAGATTATGTTTCCTTTTTTCATCCTCCTTCCTGAATCTTCTTGATAACAATTGGGGGCCAGTTTAATCACGGAGGTTGAAATAACCAAAAGGGTTCCTAGGGTGGTGGCGGGGAGGGCAGGGAACAGGGCCAGGTGGGTGGGGAGGAGGGAGAAGCCTCACTGGTCGGAAAAGTTGGGTAAGAGCAACTGAGAAATAAAGCCAGCAGAAATGGGGTTATTTCAAAGGGAACAGCTGTTAAACTGCAACCAAACAAAAAGCACATGCAGCCAATGTTCTTGTGGTTGCCCGTCAAAAACAAAAACAAAATGAGTTGTTCACGCGCCCATTCTGTGGTCTGAACAAATTAGAGTGAAGACGGGACCAGGACAGGGAGATGGATGACCTCAAAACAATGGGGACAGGCTCTTTGTTAAACAGCCCTTTCTGCTGCTGGTAGGGGGTTTCTAAACACTAATAATATCTTTGTGATAAGATGAATCACTTGGGCATGATGTGAATTGGTTCCAGGGAGCCGACCTCGACCCCTGGTGTTTGAATCTACTTGGAATGAGCATCAGAGACAGAAGAGAGCAGTGAGAGTCCTGTGTTACTGCCCCAAAAAAGGATTCGGACATGGATTTGGAGGGGTGCAAGGAACTCTGTAGCTCTGGCCAAGACTGCCCATTCCGGGACAACAAAGTAACATTACAGCATGGAGAATTCCCTGGCAAATGTTCCAGGTCACGTCGGTCAGTACTTGAATGAGACTGTCTAAGAAACACCAGGCTGAGCTATTCCACAGTGACACCATGTCCTTCAAGTCCATTCTGAATCAGCACTCTAAATGTTGCATCAGAAGGTGCCAGGCTTAGAGAGTGGCAGTTAAAGGGCAGGAGGTGGGATGGGGAGATAACATGTTTCAGATGGGTTATAAATCAGAACCGTTCATCGCCTGTTGCTGTTAAGCACCCCCCTCCCATCTTTCTCTGTTGCAAAAAACCTGAAAAATCCCATTCTGCCTCAGCAGCATTACTCCCAAACAACCCTTGAATCACCAGTGCCTGTTGTGTCAGTGCTAACAACCCCACATGCCAAACCACAGGGACTGTTGGCCCATGCCTGTGCAAAAGGAAACCGTTCTGCCCTCACAGACCCTTTGCAGTGAGAGTTAAAGTGCATCTAAGACACCAAAGAAACTCTAGAGGCATGTCCTGATTTCCCGGGTTTGGAATCTTTCCCTGGTGGCAGCCT